CACTCCAAGTAACAATGGCTTATAAGGCTTTTATGATCTGACCCTGTGATCTCTGACATCTCCGCCTCTCCCTTCACTCACTCTGCTTCAGTAACATTCACCCCCTTGCTGTTATTAAAACAGCGGAGGCCACTCAAAAGCCTTTACACTTGCTGGCCCCTCTAACATGGAAGACTCCTCCTCTTCCAGACACTCCCTATAAGTAACTCACAGACCTCCTTCAGGTATTGCTCATATATGACCTTCTCAATGTTCCCCCCCACCCATGCACACATTGTCACCCTTTCTGGCTTTATTTTTCCCCATACCATGTATTATCATTCAACATATGAAATATTTTCTTAATTTGTTTATTGTCTGCTTTCCCCTAGCATAATCTAAGCTCCATTAGGGCAGGAATTTTTGTCTGCCTGTTCACTGTTAAATCCTCAGTCCCTAACTCATAATAGGTATCTGATAAGTATTCATTGAATGAACATATCAAATCCCTATCATACACAAAAAACCTAGTATGCACAATAGTGTTACTACTATATAGACCACATGATTTTAGTATCAAAGAAAACAATGGACATTCTTTGGGAGCAATAAGGTACCAAGGAATGAACATGGGATTAGGGTCTCCTCTGAAAATAGAGATCAATATTTCTTATCTACTGCCTTCACAAGAACTCAAACTACCGTAATTTTCTCATTCATTCTCTTTATACTCTCTACTGCAGGCTATAGCCACCATCACCTAGGGTTTTTTTCTGTAGTTGTTGGGTTTTGTTGTTGTTGCTCTACTAAAAAAGACTATTTGAAACTTGTTCTTCTATATCTTGGTTTCAGATTATCTCCATGATCTTTAATTGATCCCTGAGCACAAATTACCTAACCTGGGTCCGCTGATTTTTCAAATGTTAAAGAAAAGATGTTGCCATCGAACACAAAAAGAAAATCAAATCCGTTTCCTCTTTTTTTTTTTTATTTCAGCATATTATGGGGGTACAGACATTTAGGTTCAAATCCATTTCTAATTCTGACACCACTTGAGAAAACTCTGAGTTCCCTAGTTTAAGATACATTTAACAACAAAACAATTTGTTCTCAGTTTTTGTATTAATATGATGTTTGTACAAAGATATTGGTTAGGCATTTTGTTTCTGGGTTTATCTTTGGGTTTCTTTATCATCGAAACAAATAATAGGAATTTTAAAAACTAACCACAAAATAAGGCTGCCCCATCTTTCCCTGAAAAATCCTGGAATAAAGACAATACTCATTATTCTTTTCCAGTTTCACCCTAAAAAGTGAGAAAAATGCCATCTTAGACACATCAGAAAGTAATGCCCAAATATATCCCAGTGCTACCTTAACAATAACATAGGCAAACACTATGCATATGTTACTATTTATTTATAATAATAATAATTTTACAAAGGAAGTTGGGATATTTTACTAAAGAAGAGCTGAGCGTTCAGAGAGGTTAGTTTGCTCAAGGTTACAAAGTACCAAGTAACAGAGCAAGAATCCTAGACCTGCAGACCTGCTTCTGTTCTTCCCACCTAGCTGTGCTGCCTCTGCACCAGTGCTGAGTCCAGTCCTGACCAAACATCCTTAATGGAAACTTGTAGCCTGGTACTTCCTATGTTATTAAGGAAATGAATCATTAGTACTTGGCAACATTTGCCAATTCCTAGTGAACAGATTACACAACATTCAATCATTTACTAAGCAGCTAAATTACTATCTTAATCTAATGTGAAAGTAGCTCTGATGTTGTTAGTGTTAATGAGAAATAGCCATATACATATTAGTAACTCCCACCCTTAAATAATTGATACTCTATTCATATTGCAGCTTATAGGATGATGTTTACTGGAGTTTAGCTTAATATTATCACATAACATGAAAGGCATATATATTTATGGGATTTAAAT